TTAGGCGAAATATATTCGTTACTTGAAATGTACCTAACACTATTAATTCAAGTCGTACTATTAATTACGTAAGATAATGAACTCGTCAATCAGTAATGTTAATTTATTGTACCTATCATACATAATAGAATTTTAAGCGCAGCAATTAATATTTTATCTGTGGTATAATTCTGTATGAACATAAATCGTTGATAGTAACGGTAGGTGGAGGGTCGGTCTCGGGCGCATCACGGCAAAACTGATTTATTCACTGGTGATATTTTATAGCGTAGTTTGTTCCGGCCGTTATTGTATTAGGGCGGCTGTTTGTTACACTATGCCTTTGCCCCACACCATACAGAATATTTTTAAAACATATGAGATACTTACATTTTTATATTGTTATAAGACTTTATGATAAGAGGGAATAAGCATAGATAATTAGCTCAATATTATTGTACTTTTTCATTGAATCTAAGTAATAGAGTTTATAAGTTATTGGATACAGCGAAACAAGAATATAAAAAAAGAAAAGAAGTAAGAAAGAAAGTTGAAATGTTAGGAGCAGTTATTTATTAAACCAGTCTATAGAATTGAAAATTGTTGGTATATCCAACAATAAGTTATTAATTAGAATAATACTTAGGGACTTAAGTGTTTGATATAAATCATATTGTTTAGATAGATTAATCACATCGTTGTAAGAAATTAAAGCGGCTAATAGGTATAATGTAGCAGATAACGTAATAATTAGTTAGTTCATTAAATCCATTCTCAAATTAGGATTGCTTACTGATACAATTTAGGAGAGCTTGTGAACTGCGGATGTGACCCTAGGGACGATATTAATTGTAACTATAGGTACATTGCTAATACAATGGACCCAGTTGAAAGTACAGACCACTTTTATTTCATTCATTTTTTAACTTAGTGTTGTGAGCAAATTTAGAATGAATTATATTATTTATATATTAACTACGAATTTAAGATGAGGAATCCCTACTCGTAAATCTAAAAGGTATAGTAATAAATTATAATTTTCTGTCACAAATTAAATGAGTAACAACCGAAAACATTCTCGGCATACGACGCCCCTTCACTTCTTATAACAAAATTCATCCGATTAATAAACTTCGTAACTGGTGCTCTATAAAAATAATATTTCGACTGTCCCCCAATTTTGAAAATTGCGTGAAATTAAATTTAGAATATACTTTTTATCCCTCCGGAGTCTGACAAATAGCCGGGAGCGGCGGTGGCGGCGGCGGCGGCGCGATTTAGTCACGGTGTAATTGGTTTTTTAATGCGGCATTCGCGAAGTACCACCTTCCGCTTTATCAAGTGAATACATTATCAAATCGTTATAACGCGGTCGACCCAACCCCGAGCTGTTTATAAGAATCAAATACGTTCGTCGCTCGGTATAGCTCGCCTCGGGTACAAGTACTGCACTGTCAAGTGTGCGCGTCCTGGGTATTGGACTCCGACCGCAAGTGAGGGGTTGCAAATTAGTGAATCGCAGTTATGACTCTGCCTTTTAACGGTTAATAAATATAAATTAAAATTAAATTTTTATTGTTACGAGTTTATGAAACGATTGTAAATTTTTATGTGTATTATTATCAGCTTCGAAACTACCTCATGATACTGTGATTTTAGATAATTTAAGATTGTATTACACAGAAAATTGGACACTTATCTTAACAAAATTTTGTATGGGATTTATGTGGAAGTAAATTAGATATACTATACCCATATGAAAAAGAGGTCGTCATCAAAACGGATTATATCTGTTAAAATTCTTTAGAAATATTTAGATTTGTCTGAAATTAGTTGAAAAGTAATATCTGTTAATTCTGCACAATTTAATATAAATGTATGTAATAGCTATAAATAAAAAGATACGAAAGTAACAAAAGTTGAAAGAGTACAGCGAAGAATACAGACAAGGGTTTGACAGTAATAGAGATAGAGCAAAAGATATAATCATAAATTTCCAAGTGCAGATATTCAAAGAGCGCATTCCCTTCTCGATTATCATGAACTGCGCGTTTTCATAGTACATTACAACAAATTATTTTCTGTTGATTTTTATCGTATCGGGGTTATCATTCGTTTTCACTGAAAGATGTCATAGTCATCATTCTCATTACGGTCAGGAATATGTATCTTTTTTTTTGATTTTGTCTTATTACCAATAAAAGCACCATTACATTTTTTTTTCATATTTACTAATTGTCTCTCATTGAACAATACAGATATTTGATGTAATGAAATAAGCAATCTATATTATTATGTTTATGGGTTACTTATTTACTAGGTATATGAACTATTTGTCAGATTCTAAAAATAAGGGCAGAGCTGTTCTTTGAAATTACATTTCAAAAATCTAACTTTGATGCACGACGGGCATCCAAAACTTGTACCCAGAAATATTAAAATTCCTTAATTTGAATTTTTCTAATATATCTTCATATGTATGTGTTCATTCTCCTACGAGACTCCAAGGAGGTTGCATGTTTGTAAGCTACAGAAGAATCCGAGCAAAACCAATTAAGTGAAATTGTTTAAGTTAACCATGACCATCTATTTTATTCTTATTCTATTTCACCTAATTTTATACTTTCCCTGGCAAAGCAAGCAAATTAATATTATTAGGTATTCTTAATACCACTTTTCTATTATTAATATTAATTATATTACTATATATTATAAATGACAGGAAAAAATATCGTGACTCACTGTCTTTGGAAATGGAACTGTGCACCACTTTGGCCTGCTTCTCACGATGCCGGTCACGTGTCGTGTTACAGCCGATCCTGTCTACAGTCCGTACAGCTACTGCATAGAACACGGCACCCACCATACGTGTATCGACAACGAGCCGATTGGCCTTCCGCGTATCATTCGCACTCGTAAACCCAGTGTTACTATTATTAAAGCTCCAGAGAAGCGGTTTTGTTGCGTCATAAACGATTAAATCCGTTTATTGAGTATATACTCGTTTATTTAGATAGACGTCTCGGAATTTTAGTGTCGGAACAAAAAAACATGTAAAAAGCGTGGCGGAACTATTACCCTCTCTCTACATAAAAATACCTAATGCAGTTAGTATAAGGAGGAAATCTACGTGCTACATTCGCTCTTGTCTCCGTGGTTAAGTGGCCCATTCGCGTGCAAACGAGCGCACACTTTAAAAATAATAAAACCCCTTCAGAGAGTATCAGTTGCGGGCGTATGGCGGCACTGACAAAATAGGATACTATATACCTACCTACACATACTTGTATTTTGAAAAAAGATTTTTAAAACCATAATATTTACCTGAAATTAACAATTTTACTATCTTCTTTCCGTCGCATATTTTTCGCATTATACTTTACCATTATGTTACAATAATTTCTTAAATAAATAAATATTATTTATTAAATAGGTGTTCCATACACCTATTATACTATTACAGGTATATATATTTAATCTCAATATTTTATTTCTTTCGTACACGAACGTTTTGTTTCGTTTTATATGAACGGAATATTTATCATATTAATTATATTTATAAGCTAAAATGTGATATGTATAATTGTACAATATTACTAACATTATAAATGTAGAAGTTTGTGAGTATGGATGTTACTGTTTCAAGCAAAAACTACTGAATTAATTTTAATGAAACTTTATAATAATATGGGCTATAAATTCCATGTGGGATAAACCATAGGCACAAGTAGTTATAAATAAACGAGAAAAAGTTTAAAACATTTTTTTATTTTCTCTAGAAATATAATCTCTTAATCCGCCTCTCAGAAACGAATTTTCCTATAATTCTTTCTTACGACTGCCTGTAAGACTTTCTAGTTATAGAGACCGATATTAAAATATTTAGGGTTTTATACATTCTTGTGAATGGCGCGTGATTTTCGTATGCAGACCGCGTGTAAGTCTACGTTTGTGATTGCATTACAGAATCAATATGGGGTGTCAGATGTGTGCACAAACTATCAGTTGACCAACGAGTGGTCCCTCAGTGTAAATTTTACCTAACTAACCATACAGTCTATTTATTATTATTTTTATAAGGTTAAAAAAGTATTCTATTATTATTGTTCTATTCAGAGATGGCATTTTATTCCATAAGTATAAAATAATAGCGATAATATTACACCATTATACACAGTATTAATATTCACAATAATTACGTTAATTAAATAAAATGAAAACAGTCTAGTTTCAAATTAAGTAAAGCATATAGGTAGTATAGTATATATTTATATATATTTATATACACAGAAAATAAAATATATTTATATTTGTATTGTGACAGGATCGATTCCGCGAAACTAGGTCAAAGTGCTAACCCGCTGAACCACTAAGATCGTAATACAAAGTATTTAGAGCTTCGATATTACACAAAACAAATATTGACATTACCTCAAAAGAATCTTGCCCGTATTTCCTTTATCCTTCCGTCATGATCGGCGCCTGTATCTAGTTAGCGTTGGATACACGGGGAAAAATGAAATATAGAGGCAATCCAAATGGATTGTTATCTACCCACGTGTTTACCGGCGCACCGCGGCACGTTCGCGCTAACAAGCGACCCTCGCGCCTAAAAACTGGAGACCCGTACCCGTGGTGACAGCGCCGCGCGCCCTTAGCACAGACCCCTACACCGTGTCACACAATTTGCGAGTGACAATGCTCATGACAGGTGTCCACCATAGTTTCTATCTACGCGAACATTTTTATAAGGCATCTAATAAGTTGCCGGCTATGTTAATAAATGTACTTATTAAAAAAATTGAAATAAAATATTATTACTCTTCTTTGTTTTATTGCTCTATCGATATCATTGACCGTAGTTAGTTATTTGCATAAATTTTTATGCATTTGTTGAAATTGTATATGAGCATATTGACTAGCAGATCATGATCACACATCTAAATTATTATACGGTTTTAGAACACTAATTACATATAAATAACATTGAATGTAGTAGCGATATACTTTTAATATGGATCATAAAGATTTTAACGAGGCTTACCCTTATAAATATTACATTTCTTCAGAGATAGCTAAAACTGTACCCGGTAAGTCCCATGTATCATAACGGGCGGTCATTGATTCGCTGATAAAGGATAGCTCTTTGTGACTTATAGTCGGTCCCCTCTCGTCTTGTGTCCATTATTCGGAGGTACTGACTGCCCTATCGTGAGTTTGTGGGACTACGGCAGGACAGATGGCTGCTCTGTGCCCAGGCGTACTACAAACACCTTTAATGCACCTCATTCTTTCTCACCGCCTCCCTATTAGTTTCATGGCTAATTGAGCGTAGACTGCGAAGGTTTATTTAATCTTTATGTACCGTGCCGTTTATAACCTCAGGTTTATCTGGAACATGATAATAGTAATATTATTGTTTTTAACCGACTTCCTAATGAAGAATGATTTTTAATGTGTCTATTAAGACTATTTTTCAGTATTTTATGTATTTTGTTGATTAAGTATCTGCAATTTGCTTGTAGTTTTTAATATCTATATCGTATCGAATAATCGTGTATATAAATTACTTATTAACTACTTATTACTTAATTATCATGATAGTAAACTGTAACATGCTGACAATGATACAGATGTGATAATTTCTAAACAGTTGTAGTGGAACTAAATATATTAACTAAGCAAAGTCTTTCATAAAAATATAAAACAAAATTACTACATTAAATATAAGAAAATATAGCACTTCGGAAAATATATGAAGTAAATTATTTGAATGTTAATTAAATATTGTGTCTCAAGTGTAGGTAGACAAAGCACGATAAGAGAATTACAACTCGCAATTAGCATAATCCTCGGCGCGGGCGCAAAACAGATAGCGGTAAGGTGCTTAGGTAAATTAAGTGGCCTCCTTCTACGAGAGCGCTACGGTGTAGCCCGTAGGCCCATCACAGTCGCGTGACGCGTGCCACTGCCGCCTTATCTGTTGGTCGAAAACTTTATTACCAAATAAAATATTAAATTCTCTTGAATTTGAATTATAAAGTTGGAGGCGTTCATTTAAATAGATACATTTATTTTTTTATTATCATCGTTATAGCCACTCATCATCTTTTTAAAGCTGAATTGGACTGAAAATAAGTATTTAATCTTCCATTACTATACTGACTTAACTATTCGGTAATGGATTTTCATTTTGAGGTCTCCTTCTCTTATACGGATATATTTGTTAATGGCCTGAACTGTGATAGATAGACATGATAACTTATTTAAATTTCATTGTTATAAGAAATTCGTGTAAAATACAAAGCTAATAAATTACTGTTTTAATTTTACATAAAATTAATTATTATAATATAATTAATATTATAAAATTTATATATCATAAGGAGGAAAGAATTTTTTAATGAATAGATTGGATTTAATATCTTAAAATCGATATTATTTTCTATAAATAATCAGGCATTGGCTTTGTTTTATGTTTTAAAAGAACTTTCAGAATATATTTTATTTTTAAAACGAAAAATTCACTGCACTCGTCCATAGGCTACGGTAACCGTTTACCATCAGATGGGCAATATGCTTGTTTGCCTACGTGGTATAAAAAAACCTTTGTAAAATCGATAAGTTATTATATATTTTTTCATAAATTATAGTTTAACTCAAATTAAGTGTAGTGTTTAAATTCTGGACACATAATGTGAAATGTCGGTAGGTAATGTAGTTACATTTTTATAGCATCGCATACCAGGTCTATTCGGCTTCGGTAACGGAAGGCGTGTGCAGTCGCCAATAGCTGTGATTGGATTGGGTTTGTCTAGCACTGACGAGTCCCCAGGGACTGTCCGCCGGCCCTGGGCGACGCATTGACACGATGACGACGCTAATAACAGCGATGCCAATACAAATAAAATGTATTCGGAAAGGCCATTCACTCGGACCCCATAAAAATCTAATGAAACTGTTTTTTATATCTTTTCGTTTTATTACTCTTTATATGAATGATATTATATCGTAAAACATGTCGGTATTTATAGATTTTGTAATTTTATTTTGGATATAATATAGGATCGTAACATGGAAAACATATTGTAGGTACAATTACATAATTTTTAATAATTTAATTGTCTATGATTACTTGAGAATTGGTGAATAGGTTACTGTGAATTATGTAAAACGTAGCAAATATGTTTTTTTTTAATTTAAGGTCATATTAGTTTCTACCTATAACTACGAAGGGAATAAACAACCACTCGATGTTATTAAAAATGTCATCCTGCCCCAGTTATTCAGTTTTTATGTATGTACCTAAATATATTGAAAAAAATATATACTCACGTAAACAATGTCACGGCTAATATGAAGCCTAATTACACATACTATCTGAAGACGGTATATCTAGGGTACAGCGGTGAACGTATTTAAAGAAATTATTAGGTGCAATTACGGAGCTTGTTGTGCGTGATTGGAATGCAAGCAGGGTGTGGGGCGAGGGTCGGACGACAAATTCTTACAAATTAATACATCTATCTCGGAGCCGCCTCGCGACTACTGCGATACGCACAGAATACTTTATTATACTATCCTAATACAATTTTTACGGGTAACACCTTATTCGGTGAGTGATTGAGAAGGTTTTGGGACAATCATGGGTTTGAAGACATGATGTGGGTAACTTGACCACGAAAGCGATAAGTACTTAAGAGTACAGTTAGTAAAGTTTCACGTATTGAGATTCAGTTCTTTTTATGGTACACAGATAATATATCATCATTACAGTTCACTGTTTTCCCAGTGGTGAACACAGGTCTCTACGCTTAGAAGTATACGATGTAAGACGACTTGACATAACGTTAAAATTTAAGTTTTCTTATATTGCAACGACGTCTCATATTTACATCTTACGAGAATAAATAATAATACTGGGAATGAAAATGATAAACGAAACACTCAGTCACCAATCCATAATCTAAAACTTGTAAAATAATCACAACACAACAAGAAAATACACGTGTAAAAGTCATGTCATTATTTTTATGTTCCTCTATACTAATATTATAAAGAGCAAACACTTGACTGTTTATTTTCATTTAATAAGCTTCGAAACGGCTGGATCATCTTCTCAACCTATTTTTTTTTCATTAGAATTTTATATTATACCTGATGAACTTAGGTGGTCGAATATCTTTCAAAATGTCAGAGATTTCTATGAAAACTTAAATAATGTAATGTAACGTATGAAAAAAATATTCTTATATTGCGTATGCTACGGAAACTATTAGGAATAGACTAAAATGATACAGGGCATTGAATTATTTAAAAATTTGACTATTAAAAAATAAACCTAATATAATGTAATATTTATATCAAGATTTTCACAAATAGGACAGTGGAGTGTTCGAGTGCCTCGTGCCATTGCAGACAATGCCGCTACACAGCGGGAATTTCATTTCTAATCTCGGAGTATAATCTGCACCGTCAGCAAGGAGATGCAATATGCGTCCGCCGCCTCCGCCTTCGCCACCGCGTCGGCACCGCGTCGCCCGCGCCTCGTGTCACACTCGTTGTTTCGAGAGCAATCGAGGCGCCAATAAAAAAGACGATCGTCGCCCCGAACCCAGGCACCGACTTATTTACAGAACACCCAGCTACCGCTATTTATTTTATTGACTGCCATTTGCTCTGACTTTTATTGTTGCCCAGTTCCCTGATAGAACAACAGCAGGTGAGTTGTATCCAGAAAACGAATTGTCAAAATGCCGATACAGAAGTATGGCCGAATGTATAACAGCCTTGACCTTATAATACTCTGATTTAAATTCAATGCGTTTTATAGCTCTAAAATAATATTATATTTTATTGTTTATTTATTCACTGCCTCCTTTTACAACCCTAATGCGTAATGTGCACTTTTCAAATGTAGAACATTATTAAAATAATAATGTGCGCATTGTATCTGTATAAGAACTTTTTTGAAAGCTTCATTATACCATTAATATAGGTAGGCACTAGATACTTAACAGTAAAATATCATAAAAAAAATTATATAATTAATGTTAGATATACCTAATTAATGCAATAACAACGGAACTATATATAGGATTGTTTACATTAATTTATCAAATATATCATTACAGAAATGTACCGAATTTTCCTTTTATTAAAACGCTTCAAGCATTACATAAATATGTGTACATATACCTACATATACATAATACTCATCCACCAAAGACATAATGACTCCTTCAATAGCGGCTGCGTAAAAAGTTTAGTTCATTACATTTGTTACTAAAACAGCATCGGGCCAGCAGATCAGCGTAGGTGGGACACGACTGGGCAAAAGGGGTGAGCCCCATTTTCCACACATCATTGCATCGGGCCGCAGATTTATTTGCATGCGGGCCGCTGACCAGGATCCATTATTGCCATTACGGCAGTATCTGATCAACCGGCACGAGAATTATGGTGCTCTTGTTTTTCTTAACTACATGAAAAATGGCAACAAACAAAATAAATAAAATTTATTATGCGAATTGAAAGAAATTGCTGTAGCAAGGGTTATGGTTTCCGCAATAATTTTGTTCGGTCAGGGGCTTAGGAAAACTATAAATATACATTTGGTCAGAATTGATAATACATATAAAATAACTTCAGTATAATTATTTATTGTTTACATCAATACAAGGTTACTTTTATTTGTTACAGGTATAGCTATTAATGTTTATCTCTATTAATAATTCCAAGTTAGCCTTTCTGCCTAATTTTGAAGAAATAGTTCTACTTTTTTAAATATTGCAATGTGAGTGATTGACGGACAAATACGCATAGATTAACACCTTGTTGTAATTTCTCGATTCGATTAATATTAGAGATTTGAATTACATAGACTGTTTTTACTATAGTTTATGTTGTATTTGTGAGTAAAGAAAAAGTATATAAACTTATGCAAAAGTTTGGTAAGTTCTTAGGGCGGGCGCGTGTTTACTACCTACATACCTACTTCGATTCAGATTTATGCCACGCGTCGATCGCCACCGCTTACTTCCGACTCAATACGAGTAATGAACGAGGCGGAAACTATAAATCTATTTAGTCGCCAAACTTGCGTAATGGATAAGAATTAAGAAAGTAATACAAACATTGTCAGATATCAGCTCGTTGTGTCGCTTCAGCTTGTATATAGTGTGAACGACGTTAGTTCATTCTATCGCTTGCTTAGTGAGGTTTCAGCTTAAAGCGTATCGATCTGAAATTAGGTCACAGTTCACAACGATGTTAAAGGTCAGTGGTCTTTACCAAGTGTTGCTATCTCCAAATTAGTTTTAAATACATTAAAGTAATAATATTACTAGTTCCATATTATACAACATAATATCTATATTTTTTATGCTTTCTGATGGATAGTAACAGCATTTTAAAATAATCCTGACAGATAATTAGAATATGAATAAGACAACGACCATGTCCATTTCTGATATACTTATTTATTAAGAATTTTATGGTTTACGATATTTATGCCTGGACTATGAGAATAAAAACAAGCAGTCTGTCTGGTATTTCTGTTCTGAAACGACATGTGATTATGCAATAGGACCACAATAGTAGTTAAGATATTCTTGACCGGGTCGGGACGACTTACTTTACTGAACGCTTTATTGGTCGACTATCAATGAATTAGTGATGGTAACAAATAAACTTAAGGGTATTGTTGGTATCGATATAAAGGCTTAAAGTAATTACAATATTCAATACAGATATTATTGAAAATTAAATACAATCAAAACATCATTTTCATTCACAAACAATATCATCAGACGTAGGTATATTACCTACGTCTGATGATATTTTTTGTGAATTATTATTAATATTTATAGTTGCTTTGGAGATTGAAGTGTCAAAAAATGTCAGGAATCCTAAATAATTATTTGTAAAAATTTAGCTATTTATTTTTAGTTTTTGTAATTTCTATTTAATTTAATGTGAAATTATAATGTACTGGCATGTAGATACTTCTTTATTATCTATAAGGAAAGTTTAAATGAGAATAAAAATAGATCTTATATTTTGCAGCACCTATTAAAACAATACTTTGATTACATCGATTATATTCACAGATGGAATCAATTTCATACTGCTATTTAACAATAAAAATGTACAGTTATATTGTGTTGTATTTACTTACTCTATCACACTGCTGTGTAAATATCAGTTGGTATTCACTGGTTGGTAATTGGTATCGATATAATTTTCTAGTGTAATAAATATGGTGTGCAACAACACTATAGGTTGTACATTCGTATGGGATGGACGCGACAAATCAAGCCGCGAGCTGCAATGGGGCGGCCCCGTATCGACAGGCCTTCTGATTTATAGCGGAGCCGCGTTATCGCACCCGAGGCCGTCTCTGTTTATTTTTCTAGCAATGACCATCCAACAAATAAAGCTACCACATCATCTTTTAAAAAGAGCTGCATACGTAGCAATTATGTAAACAGAATATAACGTATTACTATTTTTAACTAACTGTCAAGAGAGGGTTAAACATAATTCGTTGGTCTTTTATATGTAATTTTGATGATTGTTAAAAAAAATAGTCCCGAATTGGTTCGGTATTTGTACGTCCAAGAAGTTTTGACACTTATAGGACTTCTTAACAACATCTGTAATACCTATAGAAATTTATGATACTGACTTACGCTCCAATTGTCATGGAATGTTGCCGACAGTTGATCCCCGAGCCATACAAACTTTTGAGTTTAAAATTTATTTTCACCTTTGTTCTTTTCTTGATGTTCTGAATTATAATAAATTCAAATAAGTACAAGTGTTAATAAATTAATCATAATTATAAGCTGTAATTACTTTCTATTTTTATCGCAAACATACTTTGTGATGATAATTTGTCCTAACTATAAATATACTGCCGTAATTATTGTCTAAAAAGCTAATTTGGAACTTAGTTTAAGTACGGAATTTAGCAAAACTAATTAACGGCACCAGGCATTCAGAACAGAGAACAAGAGCTGGGTTTTCATAAAATTTATTGTTATGTCAGTAATAAAAGTTTATCAATTTATATAAAATTAATACACATTCGATAAAAGCAACAAAGTAGACGCTTAATATGCTATGACAAAATTAAAATATATTTTAAAATGCAAGCGGGTCACGCGTTGGCATTAAATTTAACTTCTCTTTGCAGAGGACGGTTAATCGTGTGTTAACGGTCGGTGGCCGTGGTAAATCTCTGGTAATCCGCTGCAGAACAAATATAGTTGAGAGGCAGATAAGGTGCGTCCGACGAGCGGCGGTCCGGCGCGGGGCGCTAATGTCCCATTTGTATGATGATGCGGCCGCTGCGGCCCGCCAAGTGGCCATTCCCTCGGGCGCTACTCAATGGTCACTAAATGTTACCCTTAACGAGCAAGCACACCAAGTGCCTTGTAGAAAGTAGTGTGGTAGTAGTATATTTAACTAGATATAACTTAAGTCTCACTATTTAACTTGTATAGACTTAGGTACTTTTTTGTATCATGAGTACCTACACTATTCTGGCCTTCCTTCCTCGCTATTTGATACTATAATACGATAATTGTAAATAAGAATTTGTTAGTTATCATCATCAGTCTACTGCAGTCCACTGCTGCACACTACTGCACTTGATCTTCAGTCCTTCATCTTCTGAAGAGACTATATTTGTTAACATTTTCAAATCTCAAATATCAATTAATAAAGCTACAGGACAAGAAAAGAAGGTCGGCCGGTACTTGTACACACATGAATTCTATGAATTTAATTATATACAAGTAAGTTAGATTCAAGTGAAGAATGGCATTCCCAAACTCTGTCTAACAGATTACATATTTATATAACAGACCACGTGTAATTGAGTGCTGATATGCATAACATAGGCATTATTTATCATATTTATATAACAGACAAATTCTAAGCATTTCTAAATACTGTTGTAATTGAGTGCTATTGTGATAAGATACAAAATATATAGTAATAAATATTCCATAATAAAAATAAACTTAACTTATACATAAAATAATTTTTTCATTTAACGAATGTCGTATGCCCGTAACTGGCTATTCATGATAACGAGTTTGAAGCAACCGACATGAGAGACATGAATAAATATATAAAGAAAAACCTGGTTTCGTGTGACCGTGAATGAAAATAGGGCGTCAAAGTAAACAATGGAGACAATATTTGTTGTTTGTGTAAAAAAATGAACGACGGTGGTCAGTTCATTAACATGGTAAACGCGCGCTTAGAATGGACCGTCACGCGCGCGCGCTCACAAGACTGGAAGTTATCGAGTTGTGAATTTTACAGAGTAACTAGTGTAAAAAATAATACTCGTAATTTCTGTTATAGGTAGGCAAGTACGAATTTACTAATGTGCGATATTTATTTCAAAAATTGTGAAAGTGACCAAATGTGGAATACCATTTTGATTTTGAGGCATAATTTCCACAAATCTTTTTGTGGTAATTATTAATAGTCATATATTTGTACTTAACTTGTGAAAATATTAAGTTATATTGATTACTTTGGGGTAAGAAAAATTCTCAAAAACTAAATAGCAATAAAGGTACCTACCTATATATGGAATAGGTACCCAAATGTGGAATATCATAAACAATATTAAAAATTAATCTTAACTTTTAAGAGACTCTTAAAAAAGTTTGGTAATATAGAAAGCAATACAAATTATGTACAAAAATCGTCAATCCAGGTATAAATCTCGGGGCTAACGCAATTATTATGTACCCAGAGCCCACACATGAGGCACTTAATCCATGTTTCCCTTGAGTATCATTCAAAAACAGCATATTACAAAAAATATACTCCGAATCTGCAGAATCTGGAGCTGAATATCATATCAAGGAATTGGGTTCACTGTCTGCATCAAATAGCATCACCTCCTCATCATTTGAATCTGACGTAGGCTTAGTATTCTCTTTTGATTTCTTTTAATGAAAAATATATAATTAACAAAATTATCAGGTTAGGTGATACTTCAGGGAACCATTTATGGAATAGTCTATAATTGGATACTGTAATCTGTCCATATTTGGATTTTCCAATGATTTCCAACTGACGTATGTCAGTTGGAAATCATCAATTTTATATTTATGTAGGTAAGTCATACAATATAATACCGCTAAAATATACGAAAGAACATCTAAATAGTATGTGAAAGCTATAAAAACCATACCGTGTGGACTTTCTGTACGTGAAATATTTATTTTTTACATAACTTAGAAACTTATGTGGTAGCGATAAGGCTTCCTCGATTGACATTCTACAATTTGTATGCGTAAATAGGAGTACAAAAAGGTAGAAAATCACTGTAATGTGTAAAATTCGCAATTTAGAGAAATGGACGTATTCCATATTAGGATACTATTCCATATTTGGTCACTTTCCTCTAATATTCAGCAATTCTTAAAAATGTTTTCGTTTATATAGCTAATGCTTAAACGTAGGTATTAAAGAATTGAAAAACATGTAAAGTAGGTACACTGAATACATGTAACGTGTAAAAACGCACGAAGACAGGTTAAGGTTTGATTCCATTAAATTAAAAAGTCCTTGAATAATAGTTTTTCTAGTAGGTACATGGAAGATTCCATGTACAGACAAACAATCAGTTAATTAGATATGTAGAAATTCTTGTACTGAAGCTGTTTACCTAATAGGTTATCTTTATTTGAAACAATAAAATGTCTATTCACTGTAAAAATACGTGAACTACGTTGTACGTTTGCTCTTAAGTTGTCTTCAATTTCAAAATCTCTATACAATAGGTATTATAACTTTTTTAGTGTTCTTTGTAAGCACTTTAGCGCCAATGTTATTTCACTTTTTTAATACGTACTAAAGGCAACAAAAATCAAAAAGTTATATTTACATTATTAAAATTAACAAATTGATAAAAAATATAATATTGAGATAATATTAAAAGTCGGATATTTAAGGAAAGCTTTTCGATATTAATTGACAGTAGAGATTAGATGATTAGTGTGCATAATGGATTATTTAGCATAGATATGACTGTATTTAGATTTTTATAATTTACACCCGATTGTATACCGGATGAGTCGGCGGTTAGGGCGCGTCATTAGCGGTTATCACTTCATTCCGGATGAAAAAACTTCAACAGCTCTCGGCGGCTCTCACGTGCACTTTAATGATTTATTAATTTTTACCTTCATAAATATGGTACACGTCGCATAATCAAGGATTTTGTCATTCAGTTAACCACTTTACAGTATAGATAAAATTTATCTTAATCTAAATACATATTAATGCCGACACATATACTTACTTCATACAGCGCAATGTCATCTAGTCCCAAATTAAGCACAGGTTGAACCAAGATTACTAAACAATTGGGAGAAATATTTAAATATAAATACATATGTTTGTAAATATATATAACAACATATATAAAGACGAGTGATTGGTGTGAGAATAGAATCCGCGACCATTAGTTATGCTAATCCGTTAGAGAACCGAGGCCGTAATGACCTTATAATTAATTAAATTGTTAAGTCGTCTCAAAACTTACATGGATATGTGTATTTTGTTAAGTATTTTATCTGCAAATAATTTACTTAACCGATTTTTAAAAAAGTAGTGACTTAATAGTTAGCAACAATTGTTAGGAAAGGGCAATGAGATCCTCCTTCACACGGTCTATTCTAGAAAATGTACATAATATGTGGTGATTTCACCCTTATACTATAATCAACATTATTATTAACATTTTAACAACCTGATGTGACTCCGTTATCCTTCCATAATCACTATTCATAAAGATAAACAGCCATATCGGTACATTATGTATGTAAAATATTTTTATATTATATAAAAATTTATCGCTCCCGCTACCCTCAGATCTTGTAAACTGCGCAACGGATTTCAATTCAGTTTTCAGCAATAGATAGAGAAATTAAACAGGTAGGTTTATATATATAATAAATACATGTACATCTGTGCGAAGCCGGGCATGCATTATTTTATAAAAATGATTCTTACCCAAAAACTTAGCTAAGTACATACTTTTAGTAAATATTAATACACGTACATATCTGTTTATTAGGTTATAAGTATTTTTTAGTATAATTATACCTTATATAGGTATAATTTATAATATTTACTTGATAATTGTTAAAGATACTGTAAGTTTGCTTGGTGCGTGTTCCAGGCTACGCCACCCTGAAGCGTACCAGCCACCTGCCGAGTCAGCAGCGCACGCGATCGATACGCATCTCTCTCTCGTATACTGAGCCGCCTTCGAATTCTGGACTGCAAATTATTATTATAATAAACAATGTAATTCGCATGTAAAAAATTTTTTTTTATCAAGATGAAGGACGTAGATAGGTGAAGTAACTATTAGAAATAGTCGAAAATGTGTCTTCTGTTTACTGTATTTGTTACTTTTTACTAAATTAACCATATTTAAGGTGAATTTTTAAAATCCAATGTATTTTAGATTGTATTAGATATACTATATATTATAGAGAGGACAAAATTAATTTACCTGTATCTAGTTTTCTATACAATTAATAAAGTAGTATTCGAGTCATCCATATAGTTTTTGTCGAATTCTGTATACCTAGGTGGGTATACCAAATTCGACAAAAACTATACTATATGGTTTAACACCTAATACAACACACAGGTTGCATGCATGATAAACGGACACATGTCCAGTTGATTCTATCTTGAATTTGACAAATGTACCTATATACTAAAATATTTGTGAAATTCAAGATATAATCAATTAGAACAACTTATATCTCTTAATTATAGTCTATCGTAGAAGTACAGTCAGATACGTATAGCAACACAAGCATTAGGTACCTCTAACAATGAATGACTTGAAAATATATACAGTAACCGACTTGGTTTCATGTTTTTTTTTTCTTTCTGAAAGCCTATTCCGGAAAGCTACATATATTATTTATTTTTATTTATAAAAACTTTAATGCACAAATACAAAAATAAAGGTGCAAATGGCGGACTTAACACCATAAGGCATTTTCTCCCAGTCGACCATAAGCTAAACAGAGATTAGTGGGCGGTGGAGTATTAAGAAAATAACATGAAAATAAATAAAAGGAAGTAGGTATAAAGAAAGTAAATTAATAAATTAAATATATATAGCCAAATACATACATATATATATATAATACATAATATATAAAAACATATACCTACATAGATATATTTATACACATCAACAATGAATATTCCGGTGAAAGCGAGAGATCATTTTGACAATTTTCCATAAATTAGGTAATGTCGCATTTTTAATTACCGATATCCTTGGAAAAATGTTTATGTACTTTGGATTTAAAGGTAAATTTGGTAGTACTAGATTTTATGTCAAGGGGCAAAGCATTCCGGTGTTTAATAGCCTGAAGCATGAAACATGAACGTAACGGAACGTGCGTATATATGTACTTATATAGCTTATGTTACTTTTTTGTATTTTTTTTTATTATATGTTTTAACTCTGTTTTAAATATATAACCACCTATTACTTTTATTAAAGGTACAGGTATATGCAATGACCTAATGCAATATCATCAGACATAGATATTTAGTAATGTATTGCAATTTAAATTTATTATCATGCTATTATACAATAAAAAGTTTAAATTAAGACACATTCAGTCAGGTCGAGAGCATTAATCTGACTGACCCTAAAAAAGTATTTTATGTTTTATCCTTGATATTTCCTATCACTTATATATATTATCCTAGAGGTGGAGAAAGCTTACCCGCTGCAACGTTGGAAAAAAATATACCGAACGAAATGTGAGCATAAAAGTGTTGTGTCCACCGCAACATCGAGATTTGACATGACTGACTATGCCATTTGGAATAAGAGTCGAGTCGGTATGCATGTACTATTTCCCATCAGATGAGGTAAGACCAAGCGTAAACCCATTAATAATAATAATAAAAAAATGCACTATGTTATACAACGGTGTTTATTATTTATCTGCTGTAAGACAAACCTACTACACACACTAGTGACAAACACAAGTAAGTACTGGTATTATGTCAAAAGTGAAGGAGAAATTTTATAATGGTACTAACTTATTGGGCATAAAGTGATAATCATATAGATCTAAATCAGATGATAGGATGAGCATGAAGTCAGGTCAGTTAGCCCATCGTGACAAATTCAACCAGAATTTATCACGATGGTTTCCAGGGGGAACCCCGTGGAGGTCAATCTGATATGGTACATTGCTAGCAATGGGATTATTAGACCACATTACTGGCAATCTCCATATTCTGTGCAAAAATGACATCATAATTCCTCTAGCCTTTTTTATGTGAAACCATAACACATAGTCAGATACTATTTGCCTCGTCAGTATTTTATTACATGCATACAAGATAATAAAGATAAAGCGGATGTTTAATCACTATATTTCCATTTAGTTATTTAAAAACATAAGATCTATTGACCTATGTCAGTCCAGATGTGTCAAAAAAAAAAGTCAGTCTAAGCAGTCAATCTAATCAGTCGTCAAATGTCAAAATACTGTGATGGATCTGTGAATTGTTTGTTTGTGAAAAACTCGATAGAAAGTAATTAATAACAAGCAAATAAATTAATAAATACATAAAATAATTACATGAAAGCAATACATACATCTATAAAATCAATGCAAAAAGTAACCACAGTCATTAGCTATTTTTCATCTAAGTGGTTAGCCTTGAAGTAGATGTCATCTATTATCTTAAATGAGTGTTGTTTATTTTACATTTTAGTGATATTAGTTGGCAATTCACGATTATATGGCTTTGATGTTTGACTTATGTTTCACAATAATTGGGAAGAGGCATGTTTTATCCACGCATTCGGGAGAAAGGTGCAGGGTTAATAGTTCTCAGTTGGACTTGCCTGGCTGTGCTGTGCGCCGCGTCCACAGCGCCCTGCGACAAGACCCGCAGGGTTTTCACACAGCCCAGCGGCATCATTACCGATGGACCAAGCAACTCTAATTATACACAAGTCAGTCAAATACTTTTGAGTTCATTTCTCTAATAACAAGGAACATGTTAACATTTCAATAACATTTTAGGATTCCCACTGTGAATGGCTGATCAAAGCTTCGAATAAATCCCAATATATAACGTTAAGTTTTATTCGTATGGGTACAGAGTGCTCATATGATTATGTGTTTGTTTATGACGGTGATTCCTTTGATGCTCCACTACTTGGAAGTTTCAGTGGAAAAACTGAACCACAAAATGTGACTGCTTCTAGTGGTTATGTAAGTATAAGATGGATATTATTTTTTCTCTTTCACTTATATCCCCGCAGCACCAACATGTTTATTGTTTTATTATTTTGTTCCAGATGCTAATACTTTTGTATAGTGATACAAATTATGTACTAGATGGGTTTCGGGCTACATATGCTATACACAACTGTCCTAACAACTGCACAGGTCAGGGCGAGTGTGTGTCTAACAAATGTTTCTGTGAAGGCAAGTGGGGTGGACCCGACTGTAGTGTTAAATTATGTCCTAATGAATGCTCAAATAATGGACAATGTAAAGGAGATAGATGTATTTGTAAGAAAGGGTAATTATTTCAATTTGCTTGACTATTAAATCCATAAATACATCAACATATTTAGGCTACCAATAATTATCATATGGTCTTTTTAACACAGTAAAATTCAATTTTTTGTCTTCACTTATAATATATAATAGTTAACAGAAGGAAAATTATTAATTAGAGTTGATTTTAGATCAGAGTTAATTATAAATATTAATAAGATATCTATAATTCATTTGTCTGATTTTAAATGCTTAAATATTAAATAGTAATGTTAAAAGATTGAGATCTAGCATATTAATAAAATAGAAGCATACAATACGTAAGAAAATAAAATCTTATTGTTGTAATATTGTCAACATATTATGTTACACAAATATATAACTGACTCATTTAGTTCAGTGGATTAAAAATATCCTATTTGAATAACAATATTGTATATTATTATTACATTTCATTTTATAATGTGTATAGTTGGATATTTGTACTTTCAGGTATTCAGGAGATTCATGCTCCTTAAAAAGTATAGATAAAGATGGCAACAGCTGGCATTGGCTGTCACGAACAGAGAGTGGTATGACTAGGAGGGCAGCTCACTCGGCTGTTTATGTCAATCATACAGACTCTCTGTATGTATTTGGAGGATATGATCTGAATAAGGTTTTAGGTTTATTGGAGGTTTATAGGTGAGTAATCAGCTAAAATTATATTGCAGGTTTTCATTATGAATACTGAAATATATAAATAAATGTAATTACAATGTTGGCTTGTAATGACGGCATCAATTGTGGCTTTTAGTGAACATTTTAGATAACATTTGTACTATTTCAAAATTTAGTTTATTTCAATTATACCTTCAATCTTATATATACATAATAAAGTATATTCCACATAGACCATTATTTATCATATTAAAAAAATAAATATATATTATGCATATTATTTATTTGCAGTTTTTCTACTAGTCAATGGTATGATGAAAATGGGAAAGTTGTGAGAAGGTATCCCACAAATGAAGAAATTGATAAATCATTGTTGACGCTTTTCAAGAAGGTAAATATTTTTAATGTACTTGTTTCATTAATAATACAGATAAGATAAATAGAAGTTTAGTTGAAAATTATATTTATGAGATCTAAATATGTAATATGTTCTTTTTTTACTAAATAGTATTTTAACAATAGGGTCACATTCAGTTTATTGTAAAAAGGAATATACTATAAATATAACAATACCTATAAAATTTGCAGGGTGTTCTTAATGATAGTTGGCACATAGGCAATGGAAGTTCATTGTTTACATTAATTCTATCATCCTTCTCTAACAATGACAAAACCACATTTCCTGTTATGTATACTCATTCGCCTGCACCATACTCAGAGAGCTATCTGCATTTTACTGATAGACCAGAGATGTTTAATTCAATGAAATCAAATTATACAAAACCTGAGCCACGGTATGGTCACTCTGCATGTGCATTTGGGACGGGTTTTGTTCTATATGGAGGAAAACTGTCAGATGGGAGTCTTTCTTCCGAGTTGTGGTTTTTTGATGCAATAACAAATAGATGGACATTACGGGCTGTCAATTCGACATTCATTCCACCTGGACTCACAAGACACACACTGACAGCTGTGAAAGATCAGTTATACTTGTTTGGAGGAAGTACAATGGAAGGAGAATTTTCTTCCAGGTAATTTCTTTTTTCCATATCGTCGCATATGAATATTCATAACACAGTTACAGGTGTAGTTTAATTAATTATGTCTTTTCTTTCAGTATGTATAAAATAAAATTAGGCGATGTGAATACAGAATTTTGGGAAAAAGTTCAAGTTAGGGGTGGAAAAGAACTGGATGTCCGTGTAGTGGCACACACTGCTGTTTATCATTCCCATTCTAATTCCATTTTAGTCTATGGAGGTGTTGTTGCTAGCGTTGCAAGGTATGTATTTTTAGAAAAGACTACTTACACGAGTGGCACTAGCCTGTATGTATTGCACAGTTTCAAACATATTTTGTTTACCATTTATTTTGACAGTAATAACAAATAAGAAACAAATAACGCCAAGAATTACATTTAATACTTGGCCTTATTTGGTTTTTAAACTTTTTAAATATTACAAACGAAGCAGTCCTAATAAGCTACGAAGGTGGTGAGATATCAGATTAGTAGGTATTAGAAATGATAATTCAAGAATAAATAAAGGTCCGGTAATTTCGTGAAGATTACCGGACGACAGGTCAAACTGGGCGTGATACATCGCCCTATAAAATTTAATTCTACCTGAATGTTTCAGGTTAAATTAGCTTATTAATTATATTGTGATAATATTTGCAGGTTTTCGAAATTGTCGGATAGGATGTTTGCGTTTGATATAGACTATAGACATTGGAGTGAAATACATTACCCGAGAGCACATTTAAGAGATACATATGTTCCACGAGAAAGAGCATTTCATACTTCAACTATTATTGGTAAATATGTATAAAGTGCACATAATAAGAGAATTAATACTATAAATTTTATAATTAACATTTTTTGTTATTTTTAGGCAATTATCTCGTTGTTTTCGGTGGCTACTCTCATAGACATAACAGAGAAGAAATATGTTACGACGGTCAAATGTATTTGTACCATCTTGGATGCCATTCGTGGATTCCGTTGGATGTGTTAGGGAAAACACCAAAATTCTATCCAAAGAAACAGGGTGTATTCGCTCACGCGGCGGCGTTAAAAACTCCATCTACTT